CATGCTCCGCAATATCTGGATGATCAATCGATTGCACAGATTACAGATTACTTTAATAAATGCTGGAAGGAAGGCACCTTGCCGCAATCCTGGCGCCATGCCAAGATTGTATTCATCCCTAAACCTTACAAACCCCTTACCATATCAAACCTCCGCCCCATTTCACTCACATCGTGTCTCGGGAAGCTTCTCGAGCACGTTGCTTTAAACAGACTGACTCAACACATGCACGACCACAACCCATACCCGCATAGCATGGTGGGCTTCCGCCCGTGTCTCTCCGCCCAAGATGCAATGCTTCAACTGACGCACGGCATTCTTGATCCTCTTATCCCCGCTCATACTAAAGCCGTCTTGGCCCTGGACTTAACCAAGGCCTTTGATCGAATAGAACACCGAGCGATCATGGCGGCTCTCTCCCCCCTCAATGTGGGCGTTCGTATGTACGCCTACATTCAAGCCTTCCTATCAGGACGCACGGCCGAGGTTCATATGGGCCCCCATGCGTCCCCTCCATATACCCTCAGTGGTGTAGGCACTCCGCAAGGTTCGGTCCTTTCCCCTTTTCTCTTCAATGCCACACTCATTCCCTTAGCCCACGCTCTTCACAATATCCCTCACCTTCACCACACCCTCTATGCAGACGACATCACACTGTGGACCACCCACGGTAGTCATGGCGACATAGAGGAAACCTTACAAACCGCCGCAAACATTACACAACAACACGCACAAAGCATTGGTCTCTCCTATTCCCCGGAAAAATCTGAGCTGCTTCTCATGCGCCCTTCACCACGTTCTCTTCCCACTGCCCCCATCACCGTTACTCTGGACGGGCGCCCTATCCCAGAGGTCGACACAATCCGAATCTTGGGCCTTCACATCCAAAATAACGGCCGTAACACTTTCACTATCCGGAAACTCAAGCGGGTGATGGATGCGCTCTCGCACCTCGTCCGCAGAGTTTCTGGAAAACACTATGGCATGAAGGAACACGATTTGTGTCGTCTCATTCATGCCTTCATACTGAGCCGCTTCCTTTATACAATTCCGTATCTCCGACTTCGACAAGAAGAAATAGCCACCCTGGATGCCATGCTTCGTAAAGCCTACAAGGTGGCCTTACACCTCCCCCCTAACACACAGACCACTAAACTTCTTCAGCTTGGGCTCCATAACACCACACACGAACTCATTGAGGCCCACAGACGAGCGCAATACACTCGTTTAGCTCAGACTTTCACCGGACGCTACATACTTAACACCCTCAATATTCACATACCAGCAGCCGACCCCACACTTCTACCAATCCCCCGACCCATACACACACAGATAATAGTTCAACCTCTCCCAAGAAACACCCACGTTACCTACCATTCGGCCCGCCGCAAGGCCCGTGCAAAAGCTCTCCACAAATAGTACGGCTCTGAAGAGGATGCCGTATGGGTGGATGCAGCTTGCGCGGGCGACGACGCGGCAGTTGCAGTCGTTGATCGCACACTCCAACCGATTGCAACTCACCACCTTCCTCCTGTATCCACCCCGGAATCCTCGGAAGAAGCGGCGATCGCGCTTGCCCTCGCACACACGTCCTTTCCGACTCGAAAACCGCGATCCTAAATTTCGCGCGAGGACGGTTCCACGAGAGCGCTTTCGGAATTCTCAGCTCGCCCACCAAAAACCCGACCCGCCATGTGGAGCTGATCTGGGTGCCTGCGCCCTCTGGGAATCCCGGCAACGACGCCGCCAATGACCACGCCCGAGGTCTCATCAACCGGGCAGCGGCGGAATCGGAGTCGGGCTCTTCCAGGGAGCGCATGCATTCGTTCAACGAGATCACCCAGTCATATCGCGCCGAACGCCAGCTATACCCACCATTCCACCGATCCCTCAAAAATTTTCACCAAATGTTATGGCGTCGCCTTCAGACCCGCACCCTTCCCTCCCCCTATTTTCTTTCCCGCATTTACCCGGGAGCGTACGCCCCGTCCTGCGCTCAATGCACTCACCCCCACGCTACCCTTACCCACACTCTCATGGAATGCCCGGCGGACCCTCCCCCGCGGGGCCCGGAACCACTGATCACATGGGAGGAATGGGAGACCTTGCTGCGCTCGACGGACCCGGCCAAGCAGAAAATCGCCACTGACCGGGCCGCCCACGTCATGGAACTGCACGAACTCATGAACACATAGCGCAGTGGGGTCGTGCGGGGACCCTGGGACGTAAGTGCCCAAATCCCTTGGTCTAGTAAAGTTTTACTTCCTCCTCCTCTATCTATCTATCTATCTATCTATCTATCTATCTATCTATCTATCTATCTATCTATCTATCTATCTACATAGCCGCCTACAACATTTATCTCTCCTGGCCGTGTCGATAAAGACATCGATACCAAACTTGCTGTGGCATAACCTGACTGTATGAAAAACATGTTTGACTAGTCAAAACATGAAAATTATGAAAAAGATGTCATGATTTACATTTTATGGTCCTGCAGCTCTCTCGGTGGTTTCGTTCACATGGCCTGGTTCAAAACTGGTATGGTATGGTATGATTGCACGGCGAACACAAGCGACAGACCCTAACATGAAAAGCATGACATGCGTGCCATGTAACAACATGACTACATGCCACGCTCATAATGCGCTGCCGGCCGTTTCGCTAGCTTCACTTATACCGAACTTGGTTTTACGTGACATGAAGGGATGACGAAGGTGTGATACTGGTGCAAACATGATAAACATGAGATGCGTGTCATGTGACAACAAGATAAGCTACGCTCATGATGTGCTCGCAGTCGTTTCGCTAGCTTCACATGTAACAAACTCGGTTTACGCGACGCTAACAGACGGCATAGGTAAACGACACATCCAAACATGATAATCCCGATATGCGTGTCATGTAACAAGATGACTACATGCCACACTGATGATGCGCTTGCAGCCGTTTCGCTAGCCTTTCGTGTGCCAAATTTGGTATTACATGACGCCAATGACTGACGAAGGTATGCGACGGGTGCGAACATGATAATGATTAGATGTGTGTCTTGTGAGAACATGACTACATGCAGCAGTCAAGGTGCCAATACATTTCGAAGTGACGCGGTGCGCGTCCTCGCCGGCGTTCATTTCGTCGCGTCATGCAGGCGTTCCCACGCCTGGCGCCGGTCCTGCCATATACTGGCAGGCGGGTGCCGCGCTGCGTTGCTTTGACGCATGCGCGTTTCAGCGTGTCCGCCGTCCCTCCGTGACGAAAAGAGGGAGACACAGTGTTGTCTGGGTAACGCATCAACGCGAAATGCAGGATGTCGCATTTGCGCCGTTTGCCGACGGGCCGTGCCGACTGACGCCGGTCGCACCTGGCGTTAGACTATAAAGTACTAGCGTTTTACTAACGTAGCGCCGCTGCGCCCAGCGTGCGCGCGCGTCAACGCTACATTGTAGTATACTGGGCCCTTCATGATGCGCTCGCAGCCGTTATACTAGCTCTATATATGACAAATTCGATGTTACGTGACGTCAATAGATGACAAAATATATGACTGTTGCAAACTTGATAATCCTGACAGGCGTGTCATGTAAGAACGTGACAGCATACCACGCTCATAGCGTGTTCGCGGTTGTTTCGCTAGCTGCACATACACTAAATTTGGTATCACGTGACGTGAATAGATGAAGAAGGTAAATGACACATCCAAACATGACAATCATGACACGTGAGTCATACGGCATCATTCACCACCACCTCGTAGCGCTGAACTGATATTAAGTGACACATCAACATTTCTCATTCGTGCTTCGCATATCATTGATTCCCACCGTGTGCGTGGAATCTGTCAACTTTTTCTTTCTGTTTTTTTCTTTTGTTGACCAGCGTTGTTTTGAGGTCTACTACCTGTTTCTGCGGGATGGTTTGGAAACACTGGATTAGACAGGGAAGAATACATGAGCAGAATTAGTTAGCGAACACGTAAAAACGTTTCACGGCTGTCGCCTCCTCGATGCGCTGAACGTGGAGACGCGAAAGCATGAGAAGCGCCGGCACAATAGCCCCGCATTTAGTTGCAAATCATGGAGGGGGGGGGGGAATAGAAAAAAGAACGCTTACATTCCTTTATTGGACTCATTATTTATCCAGACATTTATTAATATCTTCAAGCAACAAATACAGAAACTACGCATGCCGTCTACGTAGAGGACTAACGTCACTGCATTAACGTGTATGTAGGGTTATTCATATACGTACTATATGCCCTCATTTTCTGGGCGCGCGCCCACAAAAGGAAAGGGGAGCAGCGTTATTTTTGAAATTTCACCCATTTCGCGGCGCGTGGGGTTGCAAATTTTGGCAGAAGTGATCATGAACGCCTCATCTACACATTGCGCTTGTCTGTTCAAAATTGTCAAACCTCGTGATTGACCCTTTAAGGTCACGTATAGTCGGTGCATAGCAAATTTAAAAAAAAAGTTTTATAAACTATCTGTTTAAAATACTCACTACAGGAACAGGATGACGCTACCACGTTAAACTCCGAAACGCAAAGCATTAGAGTCCTCTAATTTTTTCACTTTATATTTCGTTGTAAGCCTTTTCAAGTTACTCTAAGCACCAAAATACATGGGATCAACTGCAACATAGTGCTTCTTAAAGAAAGTGTTGGATAACGTAACTTTAATGTTTCCGCACTGAAGATTTTACTACAACTGCCCCTCCATCGGGGCACACACACAGTTTTCTTGCTTCTTTCAGGCGAGAGTGTTCTTATGGCCAGCGCCCTTGTGTGGAGGCATTGCCGCGACGCGCAGGCGTAGAAGCGACGCAGAAGCGGTGCCTAAACCATTTCGCCACACCACCCTCCCCACGCAGATAGGAGCCGTCAGGGTTGAAGAGGTTTGGGGACCCGCACCTCGCGTCCAAAGCGGGTGGTGTAGGGTGCGAGCCTAGGCCTTTCGAGATTTTTGTCGGCGAATTACGGGAGGCGTGCGGGGGTTGGTAGGCTAATGGGAAATGATGTATGATGGCTTGAAGTGGTCGACGGAAACGCGTACATCCGTTGCACTGATTTGCAGGGTGAATGTTTTGTCGTCACGATGGATTACTTTGTAAGATCCGGAATAAGGCGGCTGGAAAGGTGCACGTACGGTGTCGTCGTAGAGGAAGGCATGCGAGCATGTTGCTAGGTCCTTAAACACGAATGGGGTCGGCTTGATGTGGTGAGCCGCCGGTGAGGGGCGCAGCACGCTCATTGTGCGACGGAGTCGAGTGGCGAAGCCTGCAGGGTCTGAGATGGTTACATCAGAGGTCGGAGTGGAGAGGAGTTCTCCAGGGAGGCAAAGCGGCTCTCCGTGGATGAATTCCGCTGGCGAGGCTTGAATGTCTGCCTTGAAAGTTGCGCGCACACCAAGAGCGACGGCGGGGAGAGCTTCGAGCCAGGTTGAGTGAGGGTAGCACATGATGGCTGCCTTGAACTGCCGGTGAAACCATTCAATCATCTCGTTGGCGCAAGGGTGGTAGCTAGTTGTCCGTGATCGCTCGAACCTGGTGGAGAGCCCGAGGAGCCTGAAGAGTTGAGTTTCGAATTGCCTTCCTTGATTGAATGTGACATGACGAGGAGTGTCGAAGCGTGAAACCAAGCCAGAGAAGAAGGCTGATGCGACGTCTTCTGCGGTGATCTTTTCGAGCGGCCACACCTCAAGCCAACGAGTGTAACGATTGATGGCAGTGAGGCAATAGCGGTAAGGGCTGGCTGGCGTAAGGGAGCCAATGATGTCAATGCAGACGTGCTGGAACCGTTCCGTTGGGAGGGGGAATTCTCCGAGTGGCGACGTGACGTGCCGGGTGATTTTGGCGCGCTGGCATTGAATGCATGTGCGTGCCCAGGCGCGGCAGTCCCTTTGCACTGAGGCCCACGCGTACCGGTCAGTCACGAAGCGTGTAGAAGCTTGGATGTCGGGATGACTGAGGCCGTGTAACTGGTTGAAGAGGCTTTGGCGATGCAAAGAAGAGACGTATGGTCTCCTTCGTCCTGTTGATATGTCACAGTAGACAGCTTCCGTGGACCCAGGGATGGTAACTTTTTGCAATTGAAAAGAAGAGCCCTTCTCCAAAAGCTGCTGGAATTCGGTGTTCGTTTTCTGAGCTTCGGCGAGGGCGTCGGTGGTAACGGTTGGTAGCTCGACAGCCGCGATGCGAGAGAGTGCGTCAGTGACCACGTTTTCCTTTCCGCTGATGTAGTGGATATCTGTGGTGAATCGAGCGATGAATGACAGCTGGTTCTGCTAGACCGGTGGAAGTTTTTCGCGGCGTTGGGAGAACGCGTAAGTGATAGGTTTATGGTTGGTGTATATGATGCAGTGGTGTGCCTCGAGGAAGTGGCGAAAGTGTTGGACTACTTTGTAGATGACAAGGAGCTCTCTGTAGTAGACTGGCCAGGTCGTCTCCGCAGGGGGCGAGGCTGCATCACCGACGCTGCCGGAAAGTGGGGGCGGCTTCGGGGAAGAGAGTTTATTCAAGAAAAACGCCAAGGGACGCCAGTTGTTGCCCACAGGCTGCATGAGAGAGGCTCCGACGGCAGTGCTAGAGGAATCTGTGAAAAGACCCAGGGGTGCCTCTGGTTTGGGATGTGAGAGCAGCATAGCATTGCAGAGGGCAGTTTTGCAGACTTCGAACGCTTTCGTTAAGGCTGGGGTTCAAGTGACAGGATGATTGCCGCGTTGGCCGGCCAATGCATCATATAGAGGGGCCTTATATGTGGCCGCTTCAGGCACGAAGCGCCTGTAAAAGTTGAACATGCCTTGGAAACGGCAAAGGTCTTTCGCTGTGGCAGGCAGCGCGTAATTTTGAAGGGCCAGGATGCAGTCAGGCAAGGGTCTAGTTCCTTCTGAAGAGATTTCATGGCCAAGAAACGTGACGACGGAGCGCCGAGCGTGCTCTTCTGAACGTTTATGAGTAAGCCGTGTTCGTCGAGACGCTGGAACAGTTGACAAAGGTGTTGGCGATGTTTCGTTTCGCTGCGGGAGAAGATCAAGATGTCGTCTAGGTGGACGAAACATAAGTCCAGGCCGCGGATGACGACGTCGTCAAAGAAGCATTCAAAGGTTCGCCCCGCGTTGCGGGGACCAAAACTCATGAAAGGGAATTCGAATAGGCTGAAAGGGGTGATACTTGCGGTCTTTGGGACGTCATCCTGGTTTACAGGAATTTGTGTGTAAGCCTTACGGGGTCCACTACTGAGAAGATAGTGCTGCCGTTTAAGCAGTGAGCAAAGTCCTGTATATGACAGACGGGGTACCTGTCAGGGATGGTGCGGGAGTTTAGGGCGTGATAATTACCGCAGGGGCGCCAGCCATTGGTCTTCTTTGGTACCAGATGAAGTGGTGAGGCGTAAGGTCCCTTCGAGTGGCGGGCAGTACCTTCACGCAGCATGGCTTCGAATTCGGTCTGTGCGATTCGTAGGCGGTGCGTGGCTAGCCGACGGGTGCGGCATGGGACCGGGGGGCCAGGAGTAGTACGAATGTAGTAGCCGGTTAAGTGTCGCACCTCTCGCGGACAATCGCTAGGTCGAGTCAGGTCGGGAAATTCTGCGAGGTTGTCATGGTATGGCGACTGGTTCCCAATTGTGAGTGCCTTGACGTTAGGCTGTTGCCCCGCCGTGGTGGTCTAGTGGCTAAGGTACTCGGCTGGTGACCCGTAGGTCGCTGGTTCGGATCCCGGCTGCAGCGGCTGCATTTCTGATGGAGGAAATGTTGTAGGCTCGTGTGCTCAGATTTGGGTGCACGTTGAAGATACCCGGGTGGTCGAAATTTCCGGAGCCCTCCAATACGGCGTCTCTCATAATCATATGGTGGTTTTGGGACGTTAAACCCTACATACCTACCGACGTTAGGCTGTTGGGTGGTCGCACGTTGGCCCGATGGGGTGAGGCCTGTTGTAGAGTCGATAATTCGGTCATATCGGCAGTCAGGTAGAATATTGTAGTATGCCAAAAAGCCGGATCTGATGATCGGCTCTGTGACGTCGGCGATGACGAAATTCCATGGAACATCTCGACACAGGTTTTGGAAGTTGATGTTAAGGCGGAGCGAGCCGTAGGTCTCGATGGTCGAATGGTTCGCCACGCTGAGCTCAAAGGACGTGCAAGGACGCTCGTCACGCAGGAAGGTTCGGGGAAAGCAACAGATGTCGGAGCAACAGGCGACGAGACACCGGCGCTTTGTGACTTGGTTGGTGACAAATATGCGATGACCTTTACGTTGGCAGCTCGCGGCTATCTCTATGGGCTGCCGTTGAAGTTTCCCTGACGTCCGGCTGAGCAAAGTGGTTGACATTTCCGGGCTTTGTCTCCGAAGCGGCGATAGTAGTAGCAGGAGCCGTTATTATTTCCGTGCGATGAAACAGCGTTGTTGTCTTGGCTTTAGGAGCGCTTTTGTGGACGCAGCTTCGGGCTTTCATCCAGGCGCCTTTGAATTGAGTCCAGCTGACGAGTGATTTCGTCAAAACGGCGCGCCAGCTCACCGCTGGACTGTCGGGTGTCAACGGCGTTGACGGCGAGAGGCAATGCTGGCAACAAAATCTCGAGGACTTGATCGGCAATGTGAGAGAGCTGACTCAGTGGCAGATTTGGCTGCAGCTGGAGGATGGCCTGTGCATGTGAGGGTAGACGCTGAAGCCAGATAATACCAAGGAGGCAGTCGTCGACCGGGGTGCTGCCCAAGAGGTCACGCAAGGAACGCAGGAGCTGTGATGGCTTGTGGTCATCGAGTTCTTCGTGCTGGAGTAGGTGACGCACCTTCTCGTCTTGTAAAGGTGAAGGCCGGCGGGTCAGTTCCCTCTTCAAGTTTAGGTAACGGTCATCAGCCGGGGGATTTGCAAGTATATCGCGAACCTCAGCCGCATAGCGAGAGTCTAGATGGGCAACGACGTTGTCATAGTGCGTCCGGTCCTGGGTGATTCATGCCTCGACTTGAGCGAACCACACGTCAGTCGCCTCTGCCCAAAACGGTGGAAGTTTGATGGCGACGCGACCGACGTCCCTGTCGGTGGGGGCCGCAGCAATGGAGGCGCCCGAACTGGCCGGGACCGCTGGAGCAAGTTTTGGGGGGCGCGGCCCAAGTGGGCTGGAGCACGGTCGTCGGACGAGAGCACTTCATTTTCATTGCCCTGCTGCTGTTCCCGGAGCTGCTGCTCTTGGTACTCGATCACTTGCGGCTGGGCCTGCATTTCTTGTTGCAGTTGTTGTACTTGTTGTTGAAGGGCAGCAAGGGTTTCCTCGTTGGCCATGGCGGTGCAGTACGTTCGTTTTTCGGGTCACCAGATGTGGGATAACATAACTTCATTGTTTCCGCACAGAAGGTTCTTCTACTACTGCCCCTCAATTGGGGCACACACACAGTTTTTTTTTGCGTCTTTCAGACGAGAGTGTTCTTGTCGCCGACGCACGTGTTTAAAGGCATCGCCAAGACGCGCAGGCAAAGAAGCGGCGCAGCAGCAGCGCCTGAACCGTTTCGCCACAAAAGCAACAGAATACCGATCAGGAACGGTGTAAGACAGGGGGACATTATCTCCCCAATGCTATTTACCGCGTGCTTACAGGAGACTTTCAGGAGCCTAGAATGGGAACAGTTAGAGATAAGAGTTAATGGAGAACACCTTAGTAACCTGTGCTTCGCCGATGACATTGCATTGCTGAGTAACTGATGGGACGAATTACTACCCTTGAATACGGAGTTAGACAAGTAGAGCAGAAAGGTGGGTCTTAAAATTAATCTGCAGAAAACGAAAATATTGTACAACAACCTCAGAAAAGAGCAGCACTTCGAGATAGGTATTAGGGCACTTCAAGTTGTAAAATACTATGTCTGCTTAGGGCAGGGAATAACCGCGGAGCCGAACCACGAGATTGAAATAACTAGAAAAATAAGAATGGGGTAGAGCACATTTAGCAAGCACTCTCAAAATATGACAGCTGGATTGCCACTAACCCTCAAGAGGAAGGTATATAACAGCTGTATCTTGCCGGTACTTAGCTACGTTCCAGAAACCTGGAGACTTACAAAGAGGGTTCAGCTTAAATTGAGGACGACGCAGCGAGCAATGGAAAGAAAAATGGTAGGTGTAACCTTAAGAGACAAGAAGAGAGCATTGTGGATTAGGAAACAAACGGGGGTTAGGGATATCACAGTTAAAATCAAGAAGAGGAAATGGACATGGGCCAGGCATGTAGCGCGTAGACAGGATAACTGATAGTCATTAAGGGTAACTAACTGGATTCCCAGGGAAGACAAATTGGTCAGGAGGAGACAGATGGTTAGGTGGGCCGATGAGATTAAGAAGTTTGCGGGTATAAAAGGCCAGCAGCAAGCACAGGACCGGGTTAACTGGCTGAACATGGGAGATACCTTTGTCCTGCAGTAGACGTAGTCAGGCTGATGGTGCCGATAAGAATGAAGATGATGAAGCACCGAACAATTACTCCTGGTGTACCCATCTAACACTGAGCTAGCACTGAGAGGGAAAGTACAGGAATTCAGACTCTCGCTTCAGAGCAAATACTCGGCTCTTAGTGAGAAAACCAACCTGAGCATAGATACAATGAATGATAATCTGAAGAGTATCATTACGGAGTGTGCAGTGGAAGTTGGAGGAAGAGTAGTTAGACAGGACACTGGCAAGCTTTCCCAGGAAACGAAGAATCTCATTAAAAAGCGTCAAATCATCTAAGTGTCCAGTACAACAGAAAAAATTGAACTGGCAGACCTTTCCAAGTTGATTAATAGGCGTAAGGTCTCCGACGTAAGAAGGTATAACATGGAGAGAATTGAACACGCTCTGAAAAACGGAGGAAGCGTCAAAACAGAGAAGAGAAAACTTGGGATAGGCAAACATCGGACCTATGTCCTAAGGGGCAAAGAAGGCTAAATAACTGCCAATATGAATAGTATAGTTAAAATAGCGGAGGAGTTTTACAGAGATCTGTACAGTAGCCGGGACAACCACGACTTTAATACTATAACAACTAGCAGTAACACAGATGACACCGCACCAGTAATGATAGAAGAAGTCAGAAAAGCTTTGGAGAGCATTGAAAGAGGCAAAGCTACTGGTGAGGATCAGGTAAGATGAGATCTGCTGAAAATGGAGGACAGATTGTGTTATGAAAACTAGCCACCCTGTTTACGAGGTGGCTCCTGACGGGAAGAGTACCAGAGTCTTAGAAGAACGCTAACATCATCTTAATAAATAAAAAAGAGATGACAAGGACTTGGAGAATTACATGTCGATTAGCTTGCTCTCTGCAGTATACAAGCTATTTACAAAAGTAATTGCTAACAGAGTAAAGACAACATTAGAATTCAATCAACCAAAGAATCAAGCAGGATTTCGAGCAGGCTACTTAAAAGTCGACCACATTCATACTATCAATCAGGTAATAGAGAGATGCTCAGAATATAACCAACCACTATACATAGCCTTCATAGATTACGAGAAGGCGTTTGATTCAGTAGAAATATCAGCCGTCATGCAGACACTGCGGAATCAGGGCGTCGATGAAGTATATATAAACATCCTGGAAGAAATCTGCAGGGGATCAACTGCTACCATAGTGCTTCATAAAGAAAGCAACAGAATACATATCAAGAAGGGTGTAAGGCAGGGGGACACAATCTCCCCAATGCTATTTACCGCGTGCTTACAGGAGGTTTTCAGAAGCCTAGAATGGGAACAGTTAGGGATAAGAGTTAATAGAGAGTACCTTAGTAACCTGAGCTTCGCCGATGACATTGCATTGCTGAGTAACTCAGGGGACGAAACGCAACTCATGATTACGGAGTTAGACAAGGAGAGCAGAAAGGTAGGTCTTAAAATGAATCTGCAGAAAACGAAAATAATGTACAACAACCTCGGAAAAGAGCAGCGCTTCGAGATAGGTAATAATGCAAGTTGTAAAAGACTATGTCTACTTAGGGCAGGCAATAACCGCGGAGCCGAACCACGAGATTGAAGTAACTAGAAGAATAAGAATGGGCTGGAGCACATTTGGCAAGCACTCTCAAATTATGACAGGTAGATTGCCACTATCCCTTACGAGAAAGGTATATAACAGCTGTATCTTGCAGGTACTTAGCTACGGAGCAGAAACCTGGAGACTTACAAGGAGGGTTCAGCTTCAATTGAGGACGACGCAGCGAGCAATGGAAAGAAAAATGGTAGGTGTAACCTTAAGAGACAAGAAGAGAACAGAGTGGATTAGGGAACAAACGGGGGTTAAGGATATCACAGCTGAAATCAAAAAGAAGAAATGAACATGGGCCGGGCATGTAGCGCGTAGACAGGATAACTCTTGGTCGTTAAGGGTAACTAACTGGATTCCCAAAGAAGGAAAGCGGGTTAGGGGGAGACTGAAGGTTAGGTGGTCAGATGAGATTCAGAAGTTTGCGGGTATAAATAGGCAGCAGCAAGCACAGTACCGGGTTAACTGGCGGAACATGTGAGAGGCCTTTGTCCTGCAGTGGACGTAGTCAGGCTGATGATGATGATGATGATGATGATGATGATGATGACCCATCTAAACTGGCTATGTCCAGAACACAACGCTCCAGTATTATCTTACTACATGGTAACCCATCATAATAACGGGTGTAAGCGGTCACGTCGGTGGCCCCCGACGTCAGTGAGGTCAATAAAACGTCAGCCTAAATAGGGTGGACGGCTAGCCACTGTCAGCTGAACGGTGGCAAGATCTTATTGGGCCAACGCCAGCAAGCCGTGATCTGTTTAATGCCGGCAAGCCCTCATCTGCCCAACGCCGGCAAGCCATGCTCGACCCAATGCCGACTATCCTTGACCGGTCCTACACCGACTAGCTTTCTACGGCCCAACGCCGCCTAGCCCTGATCGGTTCGAAGCCGTCCAGCCCTCATTAGCTCAGCGCTGGCCCACCGACAGTGAACCATAATGAGTTATTGTAGCGTGAGCGTGACTGCCGACTTGGGGCCAATATTGCTGCCGACGTTAACCGATGTTGGATCGAGATTGCTCAATGCCGGCGTGCTGCCTGGGTAAGCTCACGCATGCAGTGCGGCCTTTGCTTCATCGTGTTGCTTCACCCCTCTTGCACTGTATACGTTTATGATAACTCGTAGCACGTCAGTAAAATTACGTTCACTCATCGACTGCAGGGATCGTGCGTTACGTCGCACTAATGCTCCATCCCACTTGCTGCAGCACATAGTGCCGTGCACGGCGTTCGCCTGTCTATTTTATTCTAACTAGGAAGTATATAAGAAAGAAGGAGCAGTGTGAAACATCCATACAAAATAATGGTGAGCTTTTCTATAATCATAATATACTGACATTGAATTTTTTGTGAACGTTTTTAGACAGAAGAAGTACGACGCGACACCCCACTTGACGTCGCGCAGATTCAAATGGGAAGCCGCCCGCATGTTACAGGGGGAGTTCGAGTAAATGTGTCACAGTGTGGCGGGGGTCTCGCGTGATTGTTGCATAACTGGGTATGCTTTCGGAATGATTAACCAATATTTCGTATTTAGTATTCTTATTTATTGAATAAAGATGGAGCGTTGTCTTCAACGAGTGGTGGGGTACTTATGTTGGGTTGTGCCTTACTACTGGTTGAAGGTAGTGTTGCTTCCATTGCATCTACTCGAGCTAAAAAAACATAAAATCATGCGAAATATAATAAAGATTCACTTGACTGAATTCTGAGCGCGCGCTCCGCCGTCAATATATAAATCGTGCGCGTTAAAAGGAGAGGATCACGAGAGAGAGGTCCGCACCCCCATTGCGCATGCTCGGCTTGCAGAACGCCCTGTGGTGTTTTGTCCTTTAATGACTCCTGAAGCGATATTTTCACGGGTGTCTTCCGGACTGGCATGAGACGTGAGCATACGGTACGAGACACGAGACGCCAACACACGCATTGGGGGTGTGGACGGCACCACCAATGCCGAAGCGTGACGAAGAAACAGCTGCAAGCATTCGTACTAACACAGTACGCTCCGTCCAGTCATCATCATTAGTAGGCGCGCGTATACGTGCAGTGCTGTCTAGGTGGGAGCGCAAGCTCAGCGCTTTTCGTTCATTCGACGTCTGTGTACCTCAAAGCACAGGTGTTTGTATCGCTCCCGACGACGTTGGGGTTTGCGCCTCCACAGGAAACTTTTATGGCTTCGTCATCTGGCGAGACGACACCGATGTGCAGAGGCAGGCAGTACTCTCACGTCGTTTAGCAAATTTACGTGGCCCGCCGGTGGAAAGCGATGCAGTTGTGCCAATTTTCATAGCGCGACAATCACAAGCAGCTAAATTATTGCCCCAAAAGATGAAAGTCAACGTCGAAACACTGGGATGCACTGCAACAACACAAGCAATCTCATCAAAACACAACAAATTCTTGACATTAACAATAAACCAAGACGACACGTGGCTCACTGTGGTCAGACGTCCGAGCAAATTTGTATAGCATCTATTGAACACATTTTGCAGTTGTCTTACTTAAAGTATTGATGTCTTATGCAAGGCTTAAGTGCCTAGCTTCTCCATGAAAAATGAAAGGGGGCCGCCCCTCCCTGAGCCCCCTGACTTTTAACCCTGGTCGCATGTCTGTAAGCGAGCACAAAAGAAGCGATAGCGGGAATTTTATTGCAAGTTTGACTTTACACCCATTGGTGGTGCACACCACTCAATTCTCTCATAATTGATATGCCTTCTTGCCATACCCGCTACCACTGGTATAGTGTAATAAGCCCCGCCATGTAATCTCTCCACTTGATGTCACGATCAGGAAGTGAAATAATATGACATAGACTTACCTTGTCAGTGTATACAGGTTTAATGCCACAACAGCTAGTTATCAGTGGACCGCCATACCACGAGTATGGGCTTTCATGATTTATGGAAGTTCCGTGCTTAATTCTTCAACTTATAGTGTTCCTGAAAAGTTAATAACTGCGAGTGATATCTTAATGCGACATGTGCGAATGCAAATATCAGTATGCGGCAACTGCCTTGACCTTTCAATTCCCACTCGTAGCCACAAAAAATGGCTGAGTTGTTTTTTTTTTTATTTCGCTCGAACATCAATCGCCCAGTGTTCGCTGCTATATACTTGCTCCGTACAGTTGCTTCGCAAAAGGTGGGCGCTTTACTTAGGTGTGAATGCACTTGGCATATTGGTAAATCAGTGCAAAGCATAAAGCTTGGCATATAACATTAACTCAGTTTATTGATACTCGCTTTGACGAGACAATTCATTCAAAAACTTCAGGAGGTATTTAATTACGGGAAGCTGTTCGACCAGCAGCCTTGCTATGCAAAAGGCACACTGGTGACAACTCGGTGGCCAGGTTGGCACAAAAGGCCAGGATGTGAATGTATTTAACAAACCTCTTTACAGCATAAACCGCGACACATCGACAACTCCGCCATCGAAGTCTTAGGTGGGCTTCGCTGCCACATTTTAAGTGGGAAAGGCAGTTTAAAAATTAGGGAACTTCGCATTAGTGGTACCAAGCCACAAGAAATGGCGGAGCTGGGATTACTTTATTGTTTTGCTTTGTTTTTTCTTCTTGTTCTGTTTCTTTTTTTTCAATTCTTTTTATATGCGAAGCATTTCTTAGCGAACTTAGGCGACTTTGAGTGTATCTATCTATCTATAGTCGGCGACGGCTTAATAAAATTATAAGCTACACCAACAGGGCTGCGCGCTCCTCGTCTTACTCAGTCTGAATTTGTTTGTTTTTTCTTCAGAGAAATTTATTCTCACGGACAGTGAACATCAATTACAATCCAACAGAACATCGTGACGGAACACAACATCCATAGACACACCAAAATCTGTTACAAAAAGATTTGTTTACGTATGTATACGGAACACAACATACACAGATACACAAGAATTGTTACAAACATATATGCTTACATATGCACAATACATGGTAAACAAATAACACACAAATCAAATGTAAATATGTTAGGTATATACATAGTATTTACTGGTTATTTGTGCTAGTACGAAACAAAGATTGACCTACGAAAACCAGACAGGCCTGAAAACAAGCTTTACACGTCTCTCGCAGACGAACACAAAAGGGCAGGACCAGTGTCAAAGGAATTCCTCCTCACCCAGAAAAAAGAGTTCCTGCGGCAAAACAGAGATTATTTCTTTGTACAGTTACTCCGAAATTGGGAAGAGAGCACGGCGGCGACGACCTGCTGCAACAGCTTCACAACGGTCACGCCAAAGACAGTAGGCACCAGCAACAATGAGAAGGCAGGCAAATTGGTCTCGAGAACAACGTCCAGAAAACACAAAGCGGTTCGCTCCGAGGCCACAAAATCCGGCATGCCCAGCCCTCCAGAAAACACGAGCAATGACGCATTGTTTTAAAACGTGCTGATTCGTTTTCCGTAGGGAGCAGTACGGACATGTTGATGACTGCACCATTCTCCACCTTTCGAGGCGGTCAAGGGTAGGAAGAAACGCCCCACCCCAGCCGCCACGTGAAGTCCAGGAGGGGACCAGGTAGAAATGGTGTCGTCAGCGTGCTCCAAGGCACATGACTAGAATGGGTGCGGCGTGCCGGAGAAACTAACGGGAGCAACAAAGCGGCTGTTGCGTCAATGATAGAATTGTCTGACACATATACCTCAGGCGAAGTCGACTGGACATGACGAAAAAACGCGACAGCTGTTGCATAAAACGGAGGAAGTATTACTGATTGTCAGCCCCGATTAAGGTGCATATTGCGCAATAAATAGCGAAAGTGAGTGCCTAGAAAATAATATGCCAGATTTTGTGCGGGGGATTCTTTTCCTTGTACGAGGCGCAACAGGTAGCGCAAGGCCGATAGCCGGCAGCTTATTGATACCAAAGGGAAAGCAAAACCTCCCTGGGGACGCTTCTGTCCTAACGCCGCACGAGAAACCAACTCAGTGCCACCGTACCAAAAGAAGGAACACAAGGCAGACTGCAACGACCTCACGATGCGTAAAGGCGGCTGCTCCTCGTGAGAAAGGTACCAAATGCGACCGCAGAACACAGTCTGCGCAAGGTACCTCCGCTCAAGAAGCGGGAAGTCAAAATACGGGCCCTCTCAATTTTTTTTACTTCATCGAAGGTGTTTGACCAAACGGAGTTACAAACGCCGTAGTTGTTCTATTGAATTTCTAAAAGCGAAGAGACGCAGCCGGCTGAAGAAGAGATAAAGAGCTAAGTCTGGAGTTTAGATAGCCGATGAACACGTACCGCGATTTAGAGTGGTTTAGCGCGGCACCTGAAATAGCATCATACTGAAAGAATAAATGAAGGCTATGTGAAAGACTATCTTCTTCTGAAAGATACAGGGTTTTGTCGTCAGCAAAAGCTGTGACTTTCACGGTACTGCAGCCCAGAAGCACAAGACCTCGGACACGCGAATTTCCTTCTAGAGCACACAAAAATGGCTCAACAGGAGACAATGGGCATCCCTGACGGAACCTACGTGTAATAGAAAAGGCAGCACTCTCCCAACCATCTAGAACTAGTGTGCTCTTTATACCAGAATATGTATGTATAATTAATTCCACAAAAGTACCAGGAAAACCAAGGGCTCTAAGCACTTTAAAGATATACTAGTGCTCTTGTTGGTCAAACGCTTTCTCTAGGTCCAAAGACACAAGGAGACCACGTGCAGATCGTGACAGCGTATAGGCACCATGCCGTCGAGTTTTCCCGTGTGACTGCAGCGCCAGAGAACAGGGCCTAGCGGAAAAAAAACACAATATTAGGTTGGGATCAGTCAAAATGGAGCGCGATGCCTGTGTCTCCCTGCCCGCTTGAGCGGGCGGATCACAGCAGGTATGCATGGGGACGCGCGCGCGCGTCCGTTTCCTGCGTGCCCCTAACGGCCAACGTCAGCAGACTTAGGATGGGCTAGTGCCAGCAACGCAGCTCCCTGTGATCAGCGCACGGGGCTTATATGCTATGATATCCCGGGTGGTAAAAGACAAGCTGTGTATTTCTCGTTCAGGCATAGATGAAGCCTGGTGATGACCCATCAGGTTGTTCAACAGAGCCCTCAAACGTTGAACCATCACCGCCGCGAATATCTTGTAGTCAACGTTAAGAAGCGTGATAGGTCTCTGATCTTCAGAAATAACAGATGAAGCATCACCTTTTGGAATAAGCACAATGCGTCCATCTCGAAAACTTGATGAAAAGACACTCCTCGAAACATTGCCGGATAACCGTGGTTAAGGCAGTACCAAGCTCATTACAAAATGACAAGTAAAATTCAACTGGAAAGCCGTCTGGCCCAGGAGCTGTCCCCCGTTTCATAGATTGTAGCGCTGCCTTTACCTCTTCGATTGACGGAGAGCTGCGCAGATAATCAGCAGCTTGTTCAGGAACGCGAGGCAAACCTCTGAGGATAGGCTGTATTATATCACAGTTTATCTGCATGGCCGAACATGACATCTCTTCAAAATACGCCAGAAAAAGAGATCAGTCCCACGTATATATAGGAAGCGGCTGTGTAGGTGATGTCTGCGTGGTCGCAAAAACAGGTGATTGTGACTGCCCAGAACACAATTGCCTCACATAGCGTAGCGCCTCAGGGTGGGCACAAGGGCTGTGCCTACAAAGCCATGCAGCCGCCGCTAGAGACGAGGCGGCAATCGAACGCTGGAACTGTTCACGTAATTCTTGTTGCCATGCGCGTATCAGGGGAGATGGCATTCCGGTGCTTAAGGCGATGCGTAACTTCGCTGTAGTATCGGCCAGCTCCTCAGAAGCGCGACGACGAAGTGAACAACCTTCAGCTGAGCAGTGCAGACGCCACTGCGTTTTAAGCGCATTCCAATCATATGGAGACGACGCAGTGAGTGACACCTGTATTGCACGGGACAAATTTGACCGAGAGCACGCGTCCTGGAGGACGCGAACATCAAGACGCCATGATTTCTCTGAAAAAAATGAAATTTTTAGTTTTAAGAGAATTAGGCGATGCTCAGAGATGTACCCAGGCGAAGGTGGGATGGGCGGAACACGTTAGTCGGAGAAAAACATCACCAGAGCATTTGGAATATAAGCCCGGTCGAGTCTGCTGGAGGATGGTTCACGGCGCCATGTCCAAAGAAAAGTATTCCCGTGCATGACAATATGCGCATGCAACAATGAAAAATGCTGCAGAAGGCGTCGCAGCTCACGTGAATTCCAAGCAGACCACACCCAGCCAGTACCTTGTACATCCAAACACGTATTTAGCACACAGTACTTAGCTACGGAGCAGAAACCTGGAGACCTACAAAGAGGGTTCAGCTTAAATTGAGGACGACACAGCGAGCAATGGAAAGAAAAATGGTAGGTGTAACCTTAAGAGACAAGAAGGGAGCAGATTGGAATAGGGGACAAACGGGGGTTAATGATATCATTGTTGAAATAAAGAAGAGGAAATGGACATGGGCAGGGCATGTAGCGCGTAGACAGGATAACCGCTGGTCTTTAAGGGTAACTAACTAGATTCCCAGAGAAGGGAACAGGTTAGGGGGAGACAGACGGTTAGGTGGGCAGATGAGATTAAGAAGTTTGCGGGTATAAATTGGCAGCAGCAAGCACAGGACAGGGTTAACTGGCGGAACATAGGAGAGGCCTTTGTCCTGCAGTGGACGTAGTCAGGCATATGATGATGATGATTATGATAATGATGATGATGATAAAAGTCTGCAATTAAAATACGTGACGACTGCCTAGAAAAAAAACATCCGAATTGAGAAAAAAATCTTTAGACTGTCCGATTTCTGCAGGCGCATACACACATAGTATCCGCTTTCGAAATGAAAAGTAGGTTTAATCCAGAGTCATAATTCTACCCATTCCGTCATAAACAACGTGGTGACCTGTCAGT